AACCCTAACTATTCTATGATTCTATAAATTACTTTGACGTCTTCTGACAAATGGCCTCACACAACAGCACAGTGTTGTGCAAATACATCAGCTATCTCAATGCATCCACAACGTTGAATATTTCTGCCTCATGGCACTATCAGGAAGATGCTTCATACCTTCAGCCATAATGGAACCCCATGAGGACAGACAAGTATCTGCCCAAACAGCACTGGTTTCTTCGGAAGCTATGAGCTTATTGAAACCCAATATGAATTAACACTCCCCAGTTTGAAAGTAACCTCTGAAAAAGGGGTTCAGGCTTTTAGTTTTTCCACTATGGTAGATCTCACCCCACCTAAGCCTAACTATTTAGTAGTTATCATACCTGCAAGGCATTTGCAGGTCCTCTGCAGCCACAGAAGAACAATGTCTCAACATCCATTCATTTCCACCTGAGAGGGACACCTCATGCACGCAGGAGCAATTTCCCCATGAAGCAGCTATTTTCTCACTGGCTACAGAAAGTTAAGGGTGGAGGCCACCTAGATAACTACTTTGGTATCTCTTACTTTTATGTGCAGACACTAGAGAGAACTTGCCTGGGAACACACCAGAGGAAAACAATCCCAAGATGGAAAATGGATTTCTGTCCAGGGAATGTGGACAATTCAGTCTGAACTCAAGCAAAACTTGCTGCATTTTTATTAAGTGTTGTATTTATTGCCAGGATTAAGAATTCATGGTGCCTGAAACCTATTAGGAGCTACAAGAAGTTTCTCACTTTATTCGTCCATTATGAAATTACTGAAAGCAAGATCTCCTAATAGAGAAAGTGTCCTTACATGTTGAAACCCAGTAGATGAGCTAGATTATTTGCCCTCAGATTGAATTTTAGAGGTTTATATAATAATGACAGCTATAAATTGGGAAAAAGAAAATTATGGCAAGCGTCTCGGTGACTGTGGAAGGGTGAGCAATAAATCAGATGGGCAGTGGAATATTAAATTGCTAATTTTAAGAGCTATTTCTGCTTTTCTTTTTTTTTCTTTTAATGCATACTAGTATTAAAAAAAAGGTGAAGCAAAATCTCAGCTACCTATTTCTTCCTCTTCTCTTTGTCTTCATAAATAACAGTATGTAACTTGTTTGGAGAAAAAGCTCTAATCATTTTAAATTTAACCATGAAATAGCAAAAAAAATAAAATAAAAAATTGAATTAAGTCAAGCAACCAACTTCATGGAGATGACAGATCAAATATATGTGATGATTACAGAGTGGGTTCCATACGCTCTATATCTCACAGTCATGCTCTTTACCAGGACAGCCTAATACCAAAGTGTCTGCAGACATGATTGCAAATGGACTCTACACCCAGTCATACTGCAACGACCTAAATTACAGACTATACTGGGAGTAAATTTGAAACATCCCTGAAGGAATAATAAAAAAGTCACAGGAAATGTACAGCAGACGAATTGTAACACTGAACTATGAGCGAAATGAGTGAAAAACCTACAGCTATTCCGTGCCCACAAACACCTTAATTAGATATGCAGCATGAGTTATTTTACTAGATTTTCCCAGGCAACACGATGATGCCTCCCTCCTCCTAGTGGCTTATCATGAAATATTTATGGTAAGTTTTGTTTGTTTGTGCAAACCACAGAAGTGTCACAATTCAGGCCTCCATTCAGCCCCTCCCCAGCACTTATTTTTATAGTCAACATCTCTGTGCTCAACCCCAGCTGTGCAAGTTACCACATCGTCATGTGAAAGGAGTCTGGAATACAGACATTTTCCCCTTGCTCACAGTAGACTGAAATTCCTGACCTTTTCCTTTGTTTTTCTCCATTCTCATACAGATCCTCAGAAATACTAATTTTCTGTGGAACCAATGCAATCAAATAATTTCTTGAGGTATTTATAGCACAAATTTATATTAAACAGCATAATCCACCCTTCGCAAATGCATGCCTTGTTGCTAAGGCATCTGTCACTCCGCTTCTGCTCTCAACCACTTGCTACCATTCCTTACGTATGGGAATAAATGCTGCAACTCTTCAAAATGCTAATACACAAGAAGGGAATGGCACCATTTGGATACAACAGCACATTACCCCTAGTTTTTAATAGTCTACTGTCCATGCAGGCCACATGACAGAAAGAACTGACAGTCTATATTACCTTCTGTACTTAAGAGCACTACAGAAATAACACATAGCAATACAGGGAGGAAAGCTCCTTGTGCTGACTACCACAATAACCAGGAAAGCAATGCAATACATAGAGAAAAAACTCTGCCACTCAGGAATTTGTTGAGTGAGACCTTTTTGCACACTTCAACTTGATGCAGTTCCTTTCAGAGCTTCCCACAACTGTCTGAATTAATGGTAGTTGCCCATATCTCTGCCCTATGTTAGGTTGGATTTTGGTTTGATGTGTTTGTTAGGGTTATTTTTTCCAAATGACAGAAAAGAAATTCTAATTCAAATTCACAGTTTTTGGGTAACGTTTGATTTGCAGGTTCTGATGAAATCTTTACCTATCTGCAGGCTGTGCTCACCAGGAAAGTCTTCTGAGAGGTATAGCCATCTTAGCTGCAGAAAAAACACTGTAGAGGTCACAATGTTCTGACATACCTTTTCCTAATGCTACTTCTCTTGAGCTCCACTCAGATTTTGCCTCCCCTGCTGTCCTACTAAACCAAGCTGTAAGGAGCACAATGTATAAAGTACAGACCTGATAGAGCACACAGAGGAGAAAACGCAGCCCATGCTCACTCAGAGTGATAAACCTCGTACAGCACTGGGTGATAGAGGAACCCTCCTAATCCGGGCTCCAACAGTTCATGCATTAACATGCAGAAAGCTTATTGGCAACCCTTAACCACAGATAGCACATTTATAAATGGTGACTTCCATAAGAATGAGTTGGAAAAGACAGAAAGGAGATCTAAGTAATGAATGAGATGGATGTAAGTGACATAACAATCCTGGTTACTCTGAACCAACCCAGTCGACCCACAACACATCACTGATAAAATTCACATCACAAGGAACATACCAGCTGTTACATATAAGAACAAAAGTCACAGCAGCTGAGAAACACACCTTTACTGCATATAAATAGGGGAGATACTTACACTTACAGGTTGACTTTTTGGCACATCATAAACACCTTCCTTCTTTTGGCTGGTAGGAACCTGCAACAGAAAATGAAAACTAAGGTCATTACCCAAGCAGATTTGATGAAAAATTGAAATCAGCAACTGACATAGATGTATAGAGTAGTCATTTAATACTAAAAAAATCAAGGATGGTTCCCTCTTCATCTAAACAGTACCATCGCTTGGAAAGATACTGAAGAAATAAAACATCTGTCTGGATTTTTTAAATCCTAAATCCCAGTAGTGTTCAGAAATAAGATTTTAATTCTCAGTTAATTTTGGTTGCAGTAAGTCCAGGTGCACTTGGATCTCCTTCCTAATGAAGTGGCTGTTCTATGCATTTTACTTGGGGGTTAGAAGATGTACTTGAAAGTCATGATCAGGTCAGTATGTCATCTTCCTCCATGGCAGAGATCCAGGGTAGAGCTACCAGTCTGAGGGAAGGAGACGTTTGGCCTATAGCGTTACATTTTTCCTTTCCAATTCACTTAATAATCTAAGTCAAATAAAGTCATAACATGTACCCCTGCAGCGCTGTGGTCCTGCAGCTGCTCTAAGTGATCTTTGGTTATGATGCTGCAATTTTACTAAGGAATTACTGGCCTGTCAGAGTCTGACACAGCCAGGGAACTGAAGTCAGCAGCCTCACATGCACAGGGGACAACACACTTAAACTTGGGGTGAGGCTTTAGTGAAGTCAAGAGTCATCATTTACACCGTAGGCATTTACGTCCTGCTCATGTGAATTGAGTTGCTTTGTAATACTGGGCTTTGCTTGCCTCAGGACTGCTGGTTTACATATTTATAATTTGTGATTGTATCTCTTTTCCTTCCTAGAAGCACTGAACGTCTATTGTAAATAACACAAGCACAGAGAACATGCTCTAAACTGGTACAGATTTGTTCACTGAACAAGGGCATTCAGCATAAGAAGGTTATACTTCAGACAGTAATAAAACCTCACAGGTCAACAGGAGAAATACTACTGCAGATATTACACAATGATTACCTTTTTGTTTTCTAAGACATCTTAGAGTTCTGATACTAGAGTAGGACTGCTCTAGGGGAAGCTGAAGGAATATAACTTATTCATTGAGATGTACTATAATTTCTTATTCTGTATGATATATAAAAAGCTCTCTCTACTGTTCAAACAATCTCTTGCCCATGTTTAAACGTTAAAGTGCTCAAGACAAACTGTGCATTGTTAACTTGGTGCACGTTGCAGAAGTCAAAAGCACAAGCACAGAACCCTCAAGGGAACTGCACGAGCTTTTAAAAGATCTCTTCTATTCCTATCCTGGGAATAACCTGCTTGACTTGCTTTTCTCAAAGTACTGGTCACTTCCACTAAAACCACCTATCACGTTAGATATGTGAAGTGGGTAACAGTGGAACAGTTCAATTTCATGGAAATAATAGTCTGTAACAAGAGAAAACTTTAAGTGACTGCCAGAGCAGAAACCAAGAATGGTCTGTTTAATAAGTCACCTGAAAGCTTAGTCTTCATAAAGAGAGGACATATGTGCTAAGATGAACTGTTTATAAACTACTATCAGTTTCTCTTTTCTAAGTTTTCCCTTCAAGCCATTCTCCCCTCCTCCTTCCCACTTTTCCATGAAGTCATCCCAATTTGCACACTTCTATCCACAGCTTACTGCTGAAATGAGCATTTCCCTGCACTATCAATCCCCTCTCTTTTACTCCAGCTTATACTTCCATTAAAGAAAAGCTCCTGACTTCTAATATCAAGACGGAGAAACTTTTCTGACAGACATTTTTCTCTCCCAACTCGATACCCGTTGCCTTCTTGTTGTCTTTACTTGCCATGTAGCATCACGCTTTCCTGCATCACTACTTACACTAGGGGTCTGCAAGGGCTTTCTCTGGGTTTTTGTTTTCTTTGATTGGAAATATCAGCAAAGAGGTACCAGCACTGCTGCTGCTGACAGCTGTCTCTGTGACAGGCTGTGAACCACTTTGATGTACTTGCATTTTACCAGCAAATCAAGCACCACAATGCAGAAACCCCCATCTCAGACTGACAACTCCTCATCGAGCTGAACTTGCCTCTCCATAGAGACCAGCGCTGCTACATACACAACACAAAACCACTCAACAAAATCCCATCCCCACCTCACTAAAACAACTGGCAGGAAAAGAGATGCTATTAAGAAATCTGACACTAGGTAAGAGGATTGTACATGCTCAGTGATCGAGTCCTTGCCTAACACATATTAGAGTAATTTACATAGACAGACAATATTAAAAGAACAGACAGACACAGACAGTCTTTGGGGTAATGTATCAAAGAAAGGTGACAGACAGAATGAATGCTTAAAAAGAAAACTGTGACCTCTGCTATGTTAAAAAGAAATAGAAATTGTCACTTTCAGCACATTACCTTCCACCTCCAGGTGGAATCTTTTCTTTCCTGCTGGGTATCACTTCTTCCCACCAAGGGAGAAGTGAATTCTTCATGTACCACCTCTTGGTTGAAAACCCAGAGCAGCACCAGAAGAAAGATTTGATGAGGCTGAAGTGAAGATGCATGAGGTTTCTGAGCAGATGCATGTTTACCAGAGGGTAGTATGGGGAAGACTTTATAGTAAATAACAGAAGCAGGCATCAATTTGCATCAAACTAAAATGAAACTACCAAATAAAAAAAGAAAACAGGAAAACGGGACCTTTTCTGATTTAATTTTTAATAGTAGCCTGGATGGTCCTGAGATTATGAAGATCTTGTAAGAGAAACAATCTGCTAGTGATATGAGTGTAAGATCTGAGCGGTGGGAACCCCTCACAAAGTCCCTGGGAACTAAGAAGCTTGCAGCCCTGAGCAAGTCTACACTAGTGATACTACAGCATCTGTCAATTACATAGATAATGGAAGAAGACACCTTGCTCCTTAAACTCAACATTTGCAGCATCCCAGGTATTGCATGTAGTAAACAGAGAGAAGGACGATGCTAGACCTGCATATACTGAGAGTGTGGTATATTAATTACAGGAATTTTCTGTGGGAGGAAACACTTCTTCACATCCAGATACTGTCAAGTGAAGCCTTGAGCAATTCTCTGGTGGCTCACAGGACAGTAACAGCAGCGCCTTGAGATGAGGTGACAGCGACCTCGCTATCTGCTCATCGTCTTTAATTTCCATTTTAAGAGAAAGAAACTGTCTGGAGTTGTCCTGTTCTTTAGGCCATTCCTCAGAACACAGTTCCTACTTCTTCCCTAGCCACCAAAGTGTGATCCAAGATCTCCAAACACTGGGAGCGATGACCCCATTTTGCTTGCTTCCACTGGTACTTCCCTAAAATGCCGCTAAAACCTCTGTGCTTTGATGAACAACAAGCAGATTTTTTTTGGTCTCAATGTAGTTGTCATTGGATTTTTGTTCCTAGCATAAACCTGACAGCTCGAGTAGTAATTATTTAACGGATTGCTACCCTGACAGTACTCAAATTCCAACACTATGCAGTAGAAAAATTTCAACCTTAGGCATACTCTCACCTTGAGATCTTTGTGTGTCTTGATCTAGAGATGCAGAAAGATTCATATTCTAGTGTGTGTGGCAGGGGTGCCAGGAAATCAACACAGAGAAATTAAATGAATCTCATCTCAATGACCCTATTATGGGGTCTATAAAATGCTTATTTTCTAATGTTTAGCTTGCATTTCCATTTCCCACTTAGCTTCTTTCTATTTTGGCTTACAGCTACTCTAGCCTTTAATTTTTTCCCCTATTATCTTCCTACTTTTTATCATTACTTAAAAAAACCCCAAACCATTCCTTTTTTTTATTCTATCTTTGCTCCTGTCTACTTTAGAAATACTTCTCCTATTAGCAGATCAACCTCTAGTACAGCTAGATGAAATGCTTAATCACTGCTTGAACTTCTTCCCCTCCATACTAAATGATTTCCTCAAATCACTGTTTTCTTACAGCACACAGAGATTTCTCTCTATTTTCAGATTTGCCTCTAGTATGTGACACAAAATGAATTACATTATATTTTAATAAACCCTCTACTGATCCCGTGAGGATAAATTGAATGACAAAAGATTATTTTATATTGCTTTCAATGCAATTTTTTGTCAGTGTGAAGAATGTAAGCTTGGGCTCTAACATAACATTTGCACTCTGAAAATATTTTCCCCAGCCGGGGGGATATCCATTGAGAGCTCTTAGGTTTTGTCAGTGATTTCCTTGGTTAGGCAGAAAGAAGAGCAATACTATCAAAATGCCTTCCTAAGAATTGCTTGGATGAGCAACCTATGAGATTTCAGTATCTGTTCCTTAGAACAGATATAAAAACATTCCAAAACTTAACAGAAAAAAAGAGAATCCATTATTTATCACTTTATATGGTCTACTCAAAAGTTTAAGACCCTTTACAAGTGGACCGACTGAATACAATTTGCAGAAGCTGAAATGACAAACAGAAGAGTCACACTGAGACCGGGCAGGTTATTCATGTCATGTCATCAGAATGAAATGCCAGATGTTTCTGTGATGAATGAAAACTAATCAAAGCGAACTATATATGAAATGTACTTCACTAAATGCTTGCAATCATTGCAATGAAAACACCAAAGTTAGTAATTTTATACCTGATAAATGTTTTCTTCCGTTTCAGGCTCACGGATTGGCTCGTGTCCAGCCTCAAACACAATGTACTATTACACCAGCCGCCAGAGAGGAAAAGTCAAAGATGAAACAGAAGGGAAAAAGGCGATTTGGAATTCCACGTCAAAACACAGGCAGGCATTAAAGAAACAAGTTCAAAGTACAGGCTGGCAGCAGGACAACCGGTGTGTTGGAAAGCAGAGTAAGGTCGTTTCATATTTCATAAACTGGCAATAAATAGACCTAAATCTCCCCTAATGATCATTAGAGCAACTTCCTAATTCTTTCTCACTAGGGAGACTGCCTGTGGCCCAGTATTAATTTTCTGAAGTCAACATGAATTTCGCCTCTTTTACATAATGGCAATTATTTCTACATCTATCTATTATCTACGAATAAAAAAGCTAAATCCAAATTGAGGGAATAGGCTGGTGCTCATATAACAGGCCACATGGCAAAAGGCTGTCACAACAATTTCACTTTCAGGTTCTTGCTTTACTGTGAAGAGCATAAAGTAAAACTCCTGACATTATAAAAGCCGGATAGTAATTTAGGGCATCCTAATTCTTATCATCTTTCTTGATGCACCTTAGGCACTGTTCAATATTCACTAATGGTTGGATCGGTTTCTTTCAGCATGCTTCCCACTGACATACCTAAGTGGAAGAACACAAAATCTCCAGGAATAAAACCCCTGTAAACGATCATGTATTTTGTTTCAGTACAAAAACATGAGAATGAAATTACAGCTTTTTCTTTTTCACACTCAGTAGGGTATTGGACATGAATATATTGACATATTTCTGATAATCATCTTTGCTCCCAGACATTTTGCTTGGATGAAACAAGACTTAAATTTCAGATCTATTATTAAATCACAGCCCAAACACCAACAAGGGAGCATGTTATAACATCAATTCCACTGTTGTTTTTATCCAAGTATTCACCCTCTGAATTAAATTCTGGCCCCACAGAAGACAAAATGTCAATTTATTACTCTCAGAACAAGATGTCACCTTCCTTATTCTCCAAGTAACTCGGTTTTCAGTTAGAGTTTGTATTCAAAAATGATGACAAACCTCATTTGGAAATTTGAAATCGGGACTTGCAAGCCACATTATAGGAATTTTATTCTAATATTTCTATACTCCAACTGAAACATTCTATTCTATACAGATACATTGTGCCATTACTTGCAGCTTATCTCTAAATATGCTACTTTCTGACAAAATCTTACAAGTTTCTCCGAACACCTATCTCAGTAAACTTCAGAACATCTTATTAAAGGTTTTGGCTGTGCTTGAAGATAACTTATATCTAGTCATTTCTGAAACTCCAAGGCCATACAGCTTCAGAAATTACCTGGTATACAGGATCTTCTACATCTTCTTCCAATATTGTCTACAGCAAAGTAAGAGGACAGGCAGTAAAAGCAAAGAACATAAACAGCAGAGATAAAAGAACTGTATTCAGAAATTAAAGGACAGCAAAGAAATAAGCAAAATGGGCAGGTAAGTATATAGTTTTCTTTCTTCAGCATACAGATAAAGTCACATTCACGAACAAAGTAATTTTATTCAAGTTTCATCCAAGTTTAACAATCTGCACCTTATTTGATTTGATTCAAATACACACATTCAGAAGTATATTGAATCTTCCCTAAAGTATTAGACACTGTAAAAACCTGACTTACAACACACTTTCATTAAGGTTTTCCTTCTGAATGAGAGGAAACACTACACAGGAAATGAATAGATCATTTCCAGTTTCTAAACATGTTCATCATACCCCAAGTGTTAGCTTTCAGCACTGTTTAATCCTGATCAATTCTGAGCTCACGATGGCTGTTAGGTTCTTACTTGTCCATTTGAAGCTAGCACCGTTCAAACCCATTGCTGTTAAGAAATGCTGAGGATGCTCAGTGCCTCCTTGGAGCAACTCTGGGGGACATTTCACACCATACTTTTCTTGGCAGTAGTCTAAGCTTATGCGTGTACCTGGTATACCGCTTGTTCACACTGTTTGTCCTTTTGTGCCTTTTTTTCCATTTCTTCTCTTTGTTTCAGTTCATAGATGAGCTGAAACAGATCTCGCAAGTCCAGAATTACAGGTTCAGCCTATGGAAGCAAAAACAGGAAGAAAAGTTTCTGTATGGGGAAAATATACACCTCTTAACCCTCTCCTTCTGATAGAGCAGTTACAACATCTCCACAATTGGAGAGAACTTCATACAGAAGCAATTTCTCCCTTAGCATCCAGGCTCAGGTCAATTTCTATCAAACTAACTATATTTAACAATTAATGACAATATTTTAATATCATTAATATTATTAATGATAATTAATATATTAGTTTGATGTATTTATAATATAAAAAGCGTAATGAATACGAAAGGTACCTATAGGAATATAATGGAGTATTTATTAGTGGTTTCTCATACAATGGAAAGAATGTAGACTATATGCAAAGTAGCTGTTCGGTATCCACCACTTTCTGTTTAAACGAGTATAGGAATATAACCAAGCTTAGCTGTATCCAGTCAAGTTTAGATAGAAAGGAAAACAATACTGTTAAAAGTACAAGCTGGTTTCATTAAGTTGGCATTTAACATCTAAGCAGACACTTGTGACAAGTGTAGCACAATCAGAAACAACCCAAGTTTGTCCTCTTGTACACCTTCTCATGAACAGAGCTTTTCTCTTGGGTTACACTGTAGAAAATGACAGTGATTTGATACTTACTGCCTGGGCTGTTTTTATTGCCACAAATCTATGATTTCCCTCCTTTCCACATACATATCCAAACGCTCGATGGTCTGTGATATCCTTTGCGATGTATGAAATTTCATGAACTGCATGGTGGTGCTGTAGTAGCTATTAAAAAAACACAGTAAGAGCCATCCATCAAAATGTTCCATTAAAAAGCAGTATAATTTCTCTCTCATCACTGCTTTACCTGGATCTCAATACACCTATGGAATTAAACCAAGCAAACATATCCTGGTATCAACATCAATTCATATCTGAATTCCTCAAGCTTATTCTCTTTTCAACATGCAGTCAAACTTGATTTGCTTTAATAACTTGACTAAAGGCTTCAACGGAGGATTTTTTTGGTATCTTTTGGTGAGCTACAATTCAATAGAAAATACCATGTTACCTAGTTGCTACCTACATAGCATCCTAGGTAGAGAATCGATATTTGTAGCTATATAGGAGAAGCAGCAGCAGCTACCTGTGGCTTCATACAGGGTGACTCAGGACAGACTGGTCTTCAGGGGCTGCAGAGCTAGAGCTGAGATATTCAATCTGTCTAAGGATCGGCACCAGACTTGTTTTCTCTCTGCAACACTCAGCATCAGCCAGCAAGTGATATTTCATTTAAAGCAATAACAGAACTCCAAAAATGTATTTTTCCCAGAAAACGAGTGGAAACGCAATTATTCAACTTGAAATCAATGCTGAATGCAAAAAGTTCACATTTTATTTAAGAATCCCACTTTGCTTAATTGTAATAATAAAAAGACTCAATTTTGTTTTAAATGTACGAGTAAAGCTCTCTCCAGAGCCAGGACATGAATCTGAGGTCCCTACAAGCATGCCTTGGAGTGCCAGAATCTTTATCACTTTGGCCTAAATAGTACTTTATTACCAAAGTAATACTTAAGTATTTCTACTTAGAATAATGTCCTTGAAAAGTTTATCTAAACCAATCTATTAGCTTCAATTTCTACCTTCTGATACATTGACTTACTCATATATCATCTAGGGATATGCTATTTCTGAGAGCAGGCGAAGCCTCACAAAGAATTCTTTTGAGGTCCAGCTTCCTGCTGGGTTTGAGAAAAGCACATTTTGAAAATCAGCATGGTATCGAGGCAATCTCTAAACAACCTGTTATTTTTAGAGCTTAAAAGAAAACATTTTAAAATTCAAACCCAGACAGGATGTGTGTGTGTAGAAGCAAAAAGGCTGAACGCTTGCAGGGCAAGTGACAAGTGATAAGGCTTCTGTAGAACACGGGCCGAAATATAAAAGGAGAGGCAGCATGCAAGAGAGAAATGACTATGTATAAAACAAAAGACTGGGCATATTTCATTTTCATTTTGCACTAAATGGCTCCTAACGTCCCAAGATCAAGATTGCTTGCTCGAAGGAAAATGGGAGCGTTGCCATAGACTTCAGGTTGAACGTGGCTAAAGCTGAAGGTGCACTTCAGACTCTCCCAGGGTGTTAAGCATTTAAAATTAATGATGGGATCTTACTTAGATAACACGGGGATATTGATTTATTAGGTTTTTCTCAAAACCAAGTTGCATGCTATCTGTTACAATGAAATGAAATTTCCCCATCTCTCTATTCTGCATATGACAGGGAATGTTATCTCTGGCTCCTATTAAATCAAAGTTCTTTGACATAGCTTTATTGATTGCTAGGCAGTGTTTTGCACTGAAATTAAACTGTGATCAGATTCCTTCCTCGTGGAATTAGATTTGAAAATCATTCTACCATGGAAAAGTATCACCAGCAATGTAAGACACCAGATGGAGACACTCCAATTTATTTGGGAAACCTCATTAACCATTTGAAAATCATTACATTTTTAATGGTTGTGATATTTTACATACTGTATCAATGGAAGTACAAATTAAGTAAAGGTGACTGTGACATTACATCTGCATCCTTTTACATCTCTTACTGTACGGAGGGTTTAGCAAGAGCTTTTCATTTCTTTGAGGGATACTGAATTGGAACATACACATGAAATGCAATGTTGCATACACACATCTGTACTCCAACGTAGATATAAACACTCCTTCAAACCTGCATTTTCACCGCCCTCAAATCATCTAATGTCTGCTTTCTACATATTCCAATACTTATCATTCCATGGGTGCCTAGTTCTTTACAAAGCAGAAATAAGACTCCTGTTGCAGCCAGTAGAGATTTACCACCGTAAAATGCAAATCAGAACTGCATCCTCTCTGTAAATCTTTGTTTTGAGGATGCAGACTGCCCAGTACCCTGCATAGCCCTTCACAGCAATGAGATGTGCACCAGAGAAAAGGACAGCAGCACAAGGAGAAACATCATCCCATCCAGCCACCCAGCAGAGACTTACAACTGAGGCCATCTATAAACACATGCTGTTTGCATGTTTTGATTAGATTTACGGCTGATTACATACATTAATCTGTCCTGTAAAATGAGCCAACCAATAGAAATTTCATTTTTATCTCTCAGTTTGTAACTGCTCGTGTGTGGCCACCCCCTTGATACTTGAACAGTCCTGAAAGGAAATGAAACAAAAGGCACACAAAGTTGCTTACAAGAATGCTGGAGAGGGACTTTTTATAAGAGCCTGTAATGACAGGACAAGGGGGAATGACTTTAAGCTGACAGAGGGGAGATTTAGCCTAGACATTAGAAAGCAGCCCTTGATTCTGAGGGTGCTGAGGCGCTGGCACAGGGTGCCCAGAGAAGCTGTGGCTGCCCCATCCCTGGCAGTGTTCAAGGCCAGGTTGGACACAGGGGCTTGGAGCAACCTGCTCTAGTGGAAGGTGTCCCTGTCTGTGGCAGGGGGTTGGGACTGGGTGAGCTTTAAGGTCCCTTCCAACCCAAACCACTCTATGATTCTATGATACGATTCTGTGATAGCAGAAGTGCTGGTCAGTGCTCCACAGTTACTATTCACAAGCTGCCCATCTTCCTCCCTGGCCTCTTTTATTTATGTATTTATTTATTTTCTTTTCCTAATATGTTCAAGGTTTTACCATGACTTAATCCTGTCTCCGGTGGTTCAGAAGCACATAAAAGAATTATTTCATAACTCAGGGATGTTTATGACACCCCCGTATGCCCTTGCTGATGGATTCCATCACACACTAGTTGATGTTTTTACTGTATATTTGCTGAGCACTGCTACGAGCCAGTTACCAGTTCATAAGTGAGGTATCAGATTATTTTGGAGTGCTGCAGTACAACACAACGAATTATAGAGAAGACTTAATTTGTATTATGGTTCAATACAGTCAATTAAATATTGCACAGATTAGAAAGTAAATTAACATCTAAGCTTCAGTTGTTAAAAAACCCCACAGCCTTTAAATTATTTCACATCTCCTGTGACTTTACTCACTGTTGCAGGCATCAAGGATTTTAGATGGAAGATAAAGTCTCAGAAAAGGGTAAGACAATCTCTTGATGTAAACATGATGTAATTACTTTATTTTATTCACACACTAGAAAGTTTTTTTGTGGTGTTAAACTTAAAGACGTTCAAAATACCCACCTCCACCAGGAAGTCTTCCCTCTTCCCCTTAAGTTACTCCAGTCACTCCCACTAGCCATCATTTTCTCTCCTTTTCTCCCTTCTATCCCCTGCTTCTCCTCTTCCCCCAGGTTGCTCCCTGTACATCACACTGAATTGATTTAGCTGACTCTGAGATCTGTGGCATTTCCAATTTCCCTCGGGCTGCTTAGCACCTATCATAAATTTCTTCACCCCTTATCCTCATCTTGCCCCTTTATTTCCAGTTGTAGCCTCCAGTGCCACTAAATCAATTAAGTCAATCAATTAAGTACTTGGAGGGTCCTGCAATCATTTCACATGTGTGAGTTAGATGGCATGAGAAAGTCACTGCTTTACTATCGCTATTTCTCTTTTAATGAGGTTGTCTATTTAGTGGAGCCTGGGGCACAGTGTTAAGAGCCACAACAAAAAATACCCTGCAAGCTCCAAAGCCTGCTGTAAAAGCTGCCCCACCGAATGCAGGAAGCATGTACCATCCAATGTTATATCCGTAAGGACAAGTTTCACAGGGATTTAAGTTGCACAGCCTTCCACCTTGCATAACTAAATGGTTTCAGATAGGTGGTATCAGTTGACAGCTCTACTGTTACTATATCCATGCTATTCATACTGGGATATGGGAGACATACACGGTATCCCAAGCATCCCCTGCATTTCTACGCCTTTCTACTCACTTTTATCACGTTTGAATAAGCAATAATACATTTTGTGTGTCACATAAAGCTCCCCAAACATCAAAGCTACTCAGCAAACTGCAAAATCCTTAATGGATTCATGATAAAATAACTTTATGGGTTATAGTTTCAGTCATGCTGTTCTCTACCTGCAAGTCCAATGTACTCCTACTGATGTTGTGATTGCTCAGCAGCACATTAGGAAATCAGGCCCTATATGTTTAGGAAGAGCACTGAACAAATCAGAGAAACTGAACCCAACGTGGAAAATTCCAGCAATGTCTTAAGAACAAGCTTAGCAAGCCACAAGTACACTGAGCATTATTTACTGGAATGCATTCAGTGAAAACAGTGAACTGTAAAACACAGAAGTGGTTCTGAGATTGATTTACCTGCTTGCTGCAAGAACCACTGGAATGGTGCAGATGTGGAGTCAGCTCCTCCACTACACCTGGGAGGCCGCTGTGTTCCTCCTCAATGGTCCTCCAAGATGTGCACATGAACTGTTCTTCATGGCCATTTCCTTACAATTCCTGTCTACTTTAGCTGAGATTTGCAGGGATCATGGGGACAACAACTGGTCACAAGCATTGTTCTAATTGCTTATGTTTGTGCTGCAATGCTCCTCTGCTGTTTTGTTAAAATGCACTTTGTAGAGGTGGTCTGGAGCTGTTCATTTCCATCATAAACCCCAAAATCCAAATACACACTTGAGGGGCAGACGTGAAACACCCAAATTGTCTCCATCTGCAGATTCAGATCCCAGACCTATCTAGTTTTATAACTTTCAGGCAAGGATAGAGAGCAGTCCCCTATATGTAAACAGCTGGGAAAAAACCACCCAAAATCCCCTTGCTGGCATGGAATTTTTCCTGGTACCCATTAAT